GGGGCCTGACAACAGGGGATGTCAGAGCTGGGAGGGGCCTGACAACAGGGGATGTTAGAGCTGGGAGGGGCCTTAGACAAGGAGAGGTCAAAGGTGGAAGGGAGCTTATAACAGGGGATGTCAGAGCTGGGAGGGGCCTTAGAACAGAGAAGGTCAGAGCTGGGAGGGACATTGGAACGTAGATCACAGAATGTTATGTTTGGAGGGGTTATAGAGGGTCGTTGAGCCCCCCCCCCATTTGACAGAAGGGAGAATGTACCCCACAGGGGGCCTCATGCTGAGGCCAGGCAGAGGCAGAGCCCTGTACCCAAATCCTCTCTCCGGTTTCCGTCTTGCTCTGACCAGGTCGATGGAGCCCCTCCCAGCTGCCTTGGCCTCCCTCTCCATCATGCTTCTCTGACCAGAAAACACCCAGAGCCCACACAGGGTGCCGGCCACAGCCCCTTGGTTCCCCAGAAGCCCACGCTTCTTACCCCTTAGCAAACATCTCCACGGCAGCCACGTGCAGCTTCTCACGCTTGGTCAGTGGCTGTCTCCTGGAAAGCTCCATCATGGTCTCCATGGAGAGGCGGAGGGCTTGATCCAGCACCACGGAGGTCCCCGTGCCAATGAGTGCCAGGCCATTGGCAATGACGTGCCCCATCACTAAAGAGCGCCATGAAAAGCCATGAGTGACTGCAAAGGGTGACCAGATGCTCCTCCTGCCCGTGGGTGGGCCAGGCCTGATCACCCCCATTCCACAGATAGGGACACTGAGGGGCAGAAGGTGGGGCCTGGCTCCCAGAAGTTCAGGTTCTCTGGGGCTCCTCCAACTTGGGTTCTTGGCCTTGGGGATGCAGCTCAGACTGCCCCACACTCTAGCTGGGCAGATGGCTAAAGGCAGGAGAGTGAGCCACCCATCAGCCCTTCCATGCAAGGCTGCTCAGATGACACCCACTGCCTCTGGAAAGAAAGCCCTCTGCCCTCTGCCCTCTGCCCTCTGGCCCAGCAGTCCCAGTCCAGATCAGGCCCAGGAACATTCCTGAGAGCCATCAATGCCGTAACAGGAGAGATGTGTCAGAAAAGGCTGTGTCCCAGAGGAAGGGACCGGCCACACCCACCCTGGCCTAGGGATATGACTCGGACCAGAGGCAGCGGGCCTGGGAGCAGAGACTGCCTCTGAGTCTGTTTTTGAATTTTTTTTTTTTGGTGAGGCAATGGGGGTTAAGTGACTTGCCCAGGGTCATACAGCTAGTAAGTATCAAGTGTCTGAGGTCGTATTTGAACTTGGGTCCTCCTGAATCCAAGGCACGTCACCTAGCTGCCCCATGCCTCTGAGTCTGGAGCCCTGGGTTCAGGTCCTGACTCAGGCACACCCTAGCTATGGGGCCTGAGACTGCACGGGCAGCTGAGGCAGGGGTGCATAACTGGATCCTTGGGTGGATTTCAGGGGGTCTGTAACCTGGCTTTCTGGACGTGTTGACAGCTCTATCTTATATTGAAGAGGCCGGGGGCTTTAAGCTGTGGCACCTGAACTGGAAAGAGCCCCGGCCTGCTCTGCTGAGATCAGCACTGGCTGAGGGAGTTACCTTCCTGAGAGTTCTATCTGAGGGCAGGGGTCTCCCGAGGGCCACTGAACTGGGTGATAATGTAACGGGGGAATATTTAACAAAATAAGTAGAGATACAGTAAGACACCACATTTAGAACTTGCCCGCATGCCGCCAGGGGTCCTCCTAGGTGGGTGGGGGCCCCTCTTTCTACTTGAGGTCCACACCAATGTATCTCGGGTCACATTTCCCAAAAAGAGCCGTGACATGCTGGGGGTCCCTTGGGAGGGGTCCAGCAGACTTGGAGGAAAGCAGGGGGCTGACAAGGATGTAGCCTTCAGGGGCTACAGAGCTCAGCTGGGACCGTGGATGGCGCTGGGGCACCCCTCAAAGCCCACCAGGCCATAACTCCTTCTCCTTGAACTCCCCAGGGCGCGTCTGTGCCCAGCAAATCCCCAGCCTCTCTCAGTCTGTTTGCAGGGAGCCTGGGCAGCTGGCCTGGGATCTCCTTGAAGGACAGATCTGACCGGTCAGTAACACCAGGGACTCCTCATTCCTTCCAGGATCACGGAAAATCCTGTTTGGCAGCAAAACCCCTCAGGACTGGCCTCCCCTGCCCTCCATTCTTCCTGCACCCTGTCCGGAGCCCTGGGTGCACAGGCCCCCTGCCCTTCCTCCTTACACCTCCCCCCATGCCCCAGGGGCTCTGGCCCCCCTGCCATTCCTCGTTATACCTCCCTTCCCCCTCTGCCCCTTCTCCCAGCATCCCCTTCTCCGGGCATCCCCCATTTCCCCTGATGCTCTGCGCCCTGCCCCCTTAGCTCACACCTGCCCCAGCACTCCTCCATTTCAGGCCATCGCTCTGGGATGGCTTCTCATTTGCCCTGTATAGTCTTCCCAATTAGATGGGGAGCTCTCTGAGGGCAAGGACCCCTGCCTTCCTCTCTGTCTCCAGAGCTTGGCCCAGAGCCAGGGTTGGGGACTCCTCGTAATGAGAGAGTGTCTGGGGGTTTGTGTAATTCATACAAACTAAATATCAAACAAAGGAGTAAAGACACTGGCCTGCCCGGCCTGTGTCTGGGGCCTTACCAAACTCTGGATCCGCGGCCTTCATTTTTGAAAAGCATCCTTCCAGGCCGCCGAGACTCTTTTCGTTGGACCACGTCACATACTGAAACGACAAAAGACGGCTCGCACCCAGGGCCTCGGGGCCTGGGGCTGGGGAGCCCTCTGGAGCCTCGGCCCCACCTCTCACACTCCGCCTACTAGCGGAGGGTTTGGGGTCCCTCCAGGCCGACGAGACTCCGGGGTTCAAGGCCTTCTGTGAGAAAGCTGGCAAGCTGACAGCACTTTCCGCACAGCACCCTTCTATAGATGGAGAAACTGAGGCACTGAGGAAGGTGAAGCGACCCGCCTACAGGCCTCAGTTTCCTTCTCTGTAAAGCAGAGGTGATTGGTCATGTGGCTCTGAGGTTCCCTCAAGATACAGAGTTTTGTATTCTAGGATCCGGCCTGACCAGTAAACATCTGAGCTGGATCACAAGCCCAGGTCTCCTGGTTCCACATCCAAGGGTCTTTCCACCAGGCCCCTGCCTCCATCAACGCACGAGAGGCGTGGAGAGTAGGGCAAGATCCAATGAGGAAGACAGAAGACTTTGTGGAGGAGACCCCCAAAATGAGGATGATTTAACAGACAGAGGAGGGAGGTCACTTCACTCTGGGCAAAGGCATGGAGGTGGGAGATGACAGGCTACATTCAGGGTGCAGGGAGCTGTCGTTTGCTGGGGAGGCAGATAGGACACCTCAAGGTGCTAAAGGCTTTGAAGGCCAGGAAGGCAGCTGGATTTTACCTGTCAGGCAACAGGCAGCTACCCCAGGGACAGGACCAGACCCAGGCAGACAGGGGCAGTGACCCGGTGGCTCTAGGCCTCCACTGGAAGTGCTCTGACCGCGTCAGTCGGGGGGGGCCTCCTGGAGTGACCAGACCCAGCCGTGAACTAACAGAACATGGTTGGGGGTAGGGAAGCCTGAGATGCCCCCAAACCAAGGGCATGGAAAAGAACCTTCCTCTCTGTGGGATACCTGGGTCAGGGAGGCGTCAAAGAGCTTGCAGGCCTCATTACTGGTGGTGGAGAGCGGCAGGCCTGCATCCTTCCAAGCCTGGAGCCGGGGAGAGGGAAAGGATTTATTCAGTCATTTAAAAAAAGAAAAACATGCATTAGAAACCCACCACCACCACCACCCAGATCGTTGTTTTCCAGGCAGGTATTTGTTCAGGTAAGATAGAATACAGAGAGCTCATCTCCTTTGGTGAGGCAGAGTGGTCCTGGAGGGAGGCTCTAGTCCTGGGAAGCAAGACCCTTGCGCTGAGTGGTATACAGCCTGGGCTCAGCCAGCCCCTTCACCTCTCTGGGACCCAGGTTTCTCCTCCCTAAAATGAGAGGGTTAGACTAGAGGTCTAAGATTTGACAGTCTCTGTTCTAAGGTCTGAAATTCTAGGTTCTGTTCCAGGGTCCCTCCCAGCTCTCCCATCCCCTGTTCTAAGGCTCCTCCCAGATTTGTCCTCCCGGGTTCTAGGGTCCCTCCCAGCTCTCCCGTCCTCTGTTCCAATACCTTACAGAGATAGGCAAGGGTTGCATAAAAGGTAAAAAATGAATTTGAGAATAAAGGTTTAATATGAACAAGGCACACAGCCTGTTTGAAGGTCAGGATTCTCAGTAGTCACAGGGATGGTCCCTCTCGCGGCTTCAGGCCAGGCTCCAGCTCTACCCTTCTTAGCCGAGGGAGACTGAGTGGGTCCCTAGTTGTGGGGCATCAATTCATGGGTCTTCACAGGACAATAACAATACTCTTCCTGATACACTAGGCATAGCAACAGGTGGGAGGGGCCATCGGTAAGCACCTGACAGAAGCCAGAATGGTGTGGGCGGGTCAGGGTCAGTGTGGCCAGCCTGAGCTCACAGCAGTTAGGGCCAGCAGGGGCTTGGCAGCCACCCAGGGCAGACCCCTCTTTCCCCTTAAAGAGGGGGTGCCCCACTCGCTCCAGCCCCAATAAGCATTCTTGCAATCACCCAGTTGAAGGTAGGAGCCAGGTGAGAACTGACTGAATGCAGATGATGCTGCAGCTGGGGACCAGAATCGGACCTCCCCTCGGGGGAGGCCTGCACAGAGCACCAAGGCAGGGTGGGAGCCAGCCTCAGGGCACAGGACAACCTGGGGACCTTCTAAAGGCCAGAGAGGAGAGGATTTGGGGAAGATGGTGGATGGAGTAGGTCAGAAAACTTTCAGCTCTCCAAATCTCCTCCACGAAGAAAGACAGAATACAGGGTAAAGCAGTTGTCTTCCTAAGACAGCGTGAGAAGACCCTGGGAAAGAGCTACTGGGTTCTGCCAGAGTGAAGTGCAAACACCTCCAGGCCGGCAAAATCAACAAACAAGCCCTGAGAGTGGCTGGGCAAGGTAGGCTGGCAGCCTTTCCACCAGGAAGAAAGTGTGTGGGTCTGACGGTTGAGCAGGGGAAGACTGAAGGACGTTCTACCATGCTGAGCAGGCGCATCCCGGGCTGTGGCTTTGAGGAGGGGGAGGAGGGGGAGGGGGAGGGGGGGAGGAAGAGGAGGAGGAGGAGCCAGCCCACTCCCGGTGAGTGCCAGAGCCAGGGGCAGGGACCCTGTGGGCTGTGGGCACTCACAGGACAGCAGAGTCCCTGGTTTCCGTTCTGGGGCAGAGAGGATAGCTGTAGTTTGCAGCCACCCCAGGGGGCAAGGTCATTTGTGTGACCTGCTGGGGGCCCTGGCTTGGGAGTGGAGAGGAGAGCCCAAGCATGGGCCCCGAGACCGACCTCAGCAAATAACAGTAGGAAGGACCTGAGGCTAGGGGCATCACCCCCACACCTCAGGACTACAACTCAATTACGCTAACAGCTGCTGAAAAACAAAATAAAACAAAAAACAAATAAATAAAAAAGAGCAAGCAAAGGAGGAAGAACCCAAGCGTAGAGTTACCACGGGGATGGAGAAGCTCTGGGTTCATAGTCAGAGGAAGACAGTGGAGCTGAAACAGCCACTCCTCTTCATGAGAAATGTCGAATTGTCCCAGCGCAAGAAGAAGAGTTCTTGAAAGAACTTCACAAGGACTTCAAAAATCACGTAAGAGATGGAGGGAAAATTGGAAAAAAATAAGAGCAATCCAAGAAAATCAAGAAAATTATGAAGAGAAAGTCAACCACCTGGCAACAGAGAGCCAAGAAGAACTCAAGGAAGGAAATAGCTCCCGGGAAACTAGACTTGGACACGGAGACGCAGGCGCCCTTCTAAGGCACCAAGAAGTCGTAACACCAAATCCCAAGAATGAACAAATAGAAGAGGAAGTGCAACATCTCCTGGCAGAAGCAACTGATCTGGACACGCGCCAGGAAAACAGCCTCCTCCCAGCCCAAGATGGCTTAGCCCTCTAGGAAGGGAGCCCGGAGCCCAGAGGGCAGAGGCCTGACCTGCCTGACAGTAGAGAAGGGCCGAGTTCCAATCCTATTTGGCCACTTTTTTCTAAGAAAGAAGCACATTTTCTTCCCTTTGGTATCTTAACATAAGACAAACAGATGGTAAGTCAAGAAACAGAGAGATGGGGTCAAGAAAAGGAAGCTCTGAGAGGAGGCCAGTGGGGAGCCCCAAGGCAGGTGGAGGGCAGGGAGGGAGGACAGGAGCTGGCCAGAGAGTGGGGGAAATGGAGGACTGGGGGGCAGCTGGGGGG